TGGAGGAAGTTCCAAGAACCCCTGGGTCCGGAGTGCCTCTCTTCCGAAGTTGACCTCTCCATTCCAGGCTCTCCTGTCCCTCTGCAATCCGTGCATGCTCCCCTGTCCGAGCCCCCTGTCGCCCATGAAGACCACCAGGCCTCTAGGTGGGGTTGCCCGTGACCTCCCCCTTTCTCTGTGTGTGTGGCAGCCTTCCCCCTCAGCAGCCCCTCCACTCCCTACCTAGCTGGAGGGAGCAGACCCAGGTAGTAAGGGTGGGCCCTCCCAGGGACTCCTGGTCTGAGCTGCTAAGGGCTGGGGTGTGTGAGGGCGAGGGGTGTCAGTGAAGGGGCAGAGCCATCCCTGGGGATAAGGGAGCTCCCTGCTAGGCCTGGCTCTCCCTGGGACCTGCCATCCAGCTCTGCTTGCTGTAAGATGACTTCTCCCTCCCCTCTGGGTCCCCAAATCACCCCCCACCACCTCTTCTATCAGCACCTCACCCCATAGGGGCTCCAGGAGATTCCTGTCCTCCTCCAGGACCCCAGGGGGATTTCTGTGTGCATCCTCTTCTCTCCGCCTCTCCTCGGGGGGATTCCTGCCCCCTCCAGAGTCCTGGGGGCCCCTGAGGGGCCTCATGGATTCCTGTCCCCAATCCTTTGTGCCCCAATTCCATCCCCTCCTGAGGGAGCATACTATCCCCACTACACACCCACCCCTAGGATTTCCAGTCTCTGCCCTCCCTTCCCTCTGTTCCAGGGTCCAGAAATGAATTCCGTTTCTCTCTCCCCCAGGCAGAGGCTCTGGGTCTCAGCTGGCGGAGGGGGTGGCATAGGGCGGACTGGGCAACCATCTGCCAGCCCCCTCCCCTTGGTGCTGTTCAGCATTCCAGCCACATTGCCGCTCCCAATGCCAGGGACAGATAAGGTGCAGCTGGAGGCTGGCACCAGCTGCGACTGCGCTCACTCCCCCCAGCCCCAGCCCAGACCCTGCCAGACAGCTGCGCCCCCAGACCCCCTCCATGGAACCCCTGCCCTGCCTTGGCCTGGGTAGCATCAAAGTGGGTGGGAGCGAGGAGCGCCTGTTGCCCTGGCAACCAAGCACCCCACCATGAAGGGGAGGAGGTCTTGTGGGTGGGTCTCTGGTTGCTCTTTCGGTAGCTCAGGAGAGAGCTCCTGAGGCCGACCCAACCCGGCTGCTGTGGGGATGTCTCCCCATTGCCCTCTGTCTCTTCAGTCTCACAGAGTTTCCAACCAGTTCCTCCCCGATTTAGCCCAGGTTCCCCATTATCACCCCACTCTCCCAAGCGGACTCAGCCGCAGCTGGGGATGGACCTGTCAAACACTGTGACCACCAGTCTGTCCCCTGAGGTTGAGCTGGGGTGTTTGAGAGTGTGCCATTCCCATGGCCCCGAACCGTCCTCCAGAGCAGACACACCCTCACACACACTCTCACACACACACCTTCACAGACCCCCACACACTCACACACACCCTCACAGACTCCAGAGCAGACACACCCTCACACACACTCTCACACACACACCTTCACAGACCCCCACACACTCACACACACCCTCACAGACCCTCACACACCTTCACACACCCTCACAGACCTCCACACTCACAGACACACACACACACACACCCTCACAGACCCTCACACACACCCTCACAGACTCTCACAGACCCTCACACACACCCTCACAGACTCTCCCAGACCCTCACACACACTCTCACACACACACCATCCCAGACCCTCACACACACTCTCATACACACACCATCCCAGACCCTCACACACACCCTCACAGACCCTCACACACACTCTCATACACACACCATCCCAGACCCTCAGACAGTCTCACACACACATACCCTCACATACAAGCTCTTATAGATTGGATGAGGGTTGCCCTTTGAAACCTGCAAAGGAGCTCACCTGGTGTCCATGCACACTATATTTTGCAAACACTGTGAGCCAGGGCTTGGACCCCCCAGTTAAGAACCTTTGCTCTTGATGTGCCAAGATGTCTCCCCTAAGCTCTAACCCAATACAGATGTTTTCTGTCAGTGTCACATCTGCCTAGTGGGTAGATACACGCCTTTTGGTCTAGCAGAGACTGGCAAGGATGAAAAGGCAGCTGTTCACTATGAGACCAGGAGAGAAGAGAGAATGTAGAGTCCTGGCTGGTGTTGTTCAGTGGTTAAAACATCAGCCTTCCCTGTCAAAGGCACATACCTGGGTTGCAGGTTTGATCCCTGGCACCAGTAGGAGCACGTGTGGGAAGCAACACCAGTAGGAGCACGTGTGGGAAGCAACCAATCTATGTGTCTCTCTCGCATCGATGTTTCTCTTTCTCCCCCTCCCTCTAACAAAGAGAAAGAGAGAGAGAGAGAGAGAGAGAGAGAGAGAGAGAGAGAGAGAGGAAGAGAGAGAGAGAGAGAAGAGCAGAGCATCAGGCAAGGAGTGTCTGCACCCCTTAGAACCAGGGAGCTGGAGGAGTGCCAGACCCTTCTCCACCAGGGAGATGTCAGACATGGACTCACAACACGGGTCCCATCCATTAGGAGCAGCCCAATGGGCAAAAGTGGTAGAGTTCCTGGCATGGAAAGGATCCGGCAGTGAGGTCAACCAGAGAGGGTAGAAGAAGGGCCTGAGAGGTTTGGGTTCAGCCAGATTAAGGGTCAGGTCTTTGATAAGGGCTCAGAAACAGCAAAAACCTCGTCTTGCCTGACAACCCAGACCAAGAAGTGCCTGCAAGCTCCTGGCCTGCATCTCTCTTCCCAGCAAAAGGAAGAACTCAGATTACTCCAGAACTTTCTGAACCAATCATCTCTCCATCTGACAGCTCAGAACTGTCCCCTCAGACACAATGGCATGATCACATTCCAGTATCTTCATTTCCATAAACCAAACATGTCTTAGCATCACCACCTGGAATCTCTCTGGACATGAGAGACGAATGGAGCAACGGAACACTCCCTATGGACTAACTGTACCCTCATGTTACACCTTAGCACCTGCCCAGGTTGAGTCAAGCAATTCCCTCCCTCCTCCCACACTACAAACCACCCACAGAGGGATGGTTTTTCTCTTTCTTGGTGGGCCCTTCTGCTTGTGTGTTGGGAGGAAGGCCTTGGCTTTCACTTTCACCTTCACTAACAGTTCTATTCTCTTGGGAGCATAGTTGGTGAGCCCGGGAACCCTTAGGTCAAGGGCTCTGGGGAATCCAGGACTCTTCTGTTTTGAGGAAGGAAAAGAGGGAAGAAAGTGGTCCTTGCATCGCATTAAGCGCCCCATCAGCTTGGCTCAGCAAGTTGTATGACCATGTAACTTTTGTCTGATAGGATTGACAAAGGCTCATAAAACCAGTCTGTAGAGCAGGGCTTTAAACGATTGGAAAGTCTGCTTGGTGGGTGTGGCTCAGTAGCTGAGCATCGACCCATGCACCAAGAGGACTCCGACTGGATTCTGGGTTTGGACAAATGCCTGAGTTTCGGGGCCAATTGCCCTATCCCTGGTAGGGGGCGTGCAGAGGCAGCCGATCAATCAATCAATCAATCGATGTTCTCTCTCTCTCTCTCTCTAAAATAAATAAAAACATATATATTTTTTTAAAAACTTAATTTCATTAAAAAAAATTGGGAAGTCTTGTGTAACCTCAGCAAGAAAAAACAAGCATGACCTTTCTACAGGCTCAACCTTTCTACACAAACAAATGCAGTTCATGCTCCCATAATGCCAGGAGGAAGCAAGCAAGTAGGGAAGAAAACGGGCAGGGAGAAAGGGGAGGTTCTGAGAGTGGAGAATTGGGGGCAGGCATGGAGAGCAGGGGGCTCCTAGGGGAGGCTGGGTTTTCAGAGACCAGTGGCCAGAATTGGAAGTAGATACGCTGACTCCGGGGTCAGCAGTGTTAACAAAAAGAGCACACTGCACTGGGACCTAAGGAGACACGTTCTAATCCTGAATCTGTAACTAACCAGCTATGTGAGCTCGGGCAGCTCATTCTCCCTCTCAGTTCGTGCACTCATAAAATAGAGATAATATGACTATTTATCTAGGGGATTGCAGGAGTCTAGAAAGCATGCTGAAGAATCGCCAGCATCGTCCTCTCATTCAGTGTTATTTTCCATACGCGGCTCCAGGTCCTCTGGTCCCTTTCCAGCCTCTTTCCGATTCTACACCCTCAGGAACCTGTGTGACTTGCTTAGGATCACCCGGTACAGAGAGTGCCCCTAACCCTCTCTGGGGTGCTGGCTTTGAGGCAGCCCCACCTGTGGGGCATCTCCATTTTAAGAAGCAAAGGGAGCTTGCTGTTCAGCCATGACTGTGTAGCCCAAATCCTCTCTCCTTCCTCAGACCGAGTAGCACTGGTGGCTCTTGATGGCAAGGGGGTAACCCCATTGGACAGTGTGTGTGTGAGTGTGTGTGTGTGTGTGTGTGAGTGTGTGTGTGTGTGTGTAGTGGCACGGAGAGAATTACCTGTCTGGCTATTTAAGAGAAAGCTTCCCTTACTTTTCATGTTTCACAGTGCTTCTCAAACTTGAATTCAAATCACCCAGGGATCTTGTTAAAAGGCAGATTCTGATTCAGGAGATGCAAATCACCCAGGGATCTTGTTAAAAGGCAGATTCTGATTCAGGAGATGGGTGGTAAAGTCTGCATTTCTTTCCAGCTCCCAGGGGAGGGTCCTCAGCCCCTACCCCCAGCTCTGACACCTGTGGTGCAGAAGGTAAGCTTGATGGGGACAAGGCCATGACAGGCTGTGTGTGCCTGTGTGTGTTGTGCACTGGGGGTTCTCTTTGTTGCCATAGCGTGGACACAAGGCTGAAGCTCCAGCCCTCACACAGAACAAATGCACCCCCATGCCGAACAAAATCCCCTGCGAGCCCCAGGGACACATAGCTTCCTCTCCCAGTGGAGCCAGCAGGATGAGAAGACTGCCTGCTCCTAGCCTCCTCCTCCTCTGGGGGCCCGGCTGACTCACACGCCTCACACTCCGCACCAGGGGACTCACTCACCACCTTGAAGTCTTCTGCGCTGCAGACCTCCCCCCGGAATTGGCAGGAGAGCAGCATGTCTCGAATGTCGTGCCCCGCGCGGTCGTAGAACTCGCGCATGTTGAAGGGCTTGGGCTTGAAGCTGCGGAAGTTGGCCTTGTCCTGCAGTATCTCCAGCTGCTTCTCATCTGCCATCTGTGTGTCCGGTATCTCATACCTGGAGCCCGGGGGTGATCCGCGCATGGATCAGCATGATTTTCAATTCCTGCCTGTTTGGCCTCCAGTGTCCCATACCCACCTCCAGGGAATGCGGGGAGGGCAGCATCCAGCCCTGTGGGTAGGTCTGGGCACAGGCATAGACTAGAGCAGGGCGTGTCCAGAGGACCTGCCCCCTAGGATCTGAGAAGGCGGAAGGATCTGTAGTGGCTGCGGGGGCCCAGGAGCGGGGGGTGCTGGGCATCTCAGCACAGCGGTAAGGGTGGGGCGACAGAGAGATCAAAGCTGGAGCTACGGCTTTTATAGTCTCTACCTGTTAAAGATGGTCTGTCCCCAGCCCCTGAGCGAACAGATCAAGACGTAGTGGCAGGAAGGTGGGGAAAGGTCACTCCAAAGAGGGTGCTGATGTCTCACAGCTCAGGCTGGGTAGGGGCAGGGCTGGGCTGGGCTACGCTGGGATCCAAGACTGGGTGCCCTTAATTGAGTGCTCAGCAGCACCCCAATTCCTTTGCAGTGAGTGGCAGGTTTGAGGGGGATGGGAGGCGAGGTTGTCTGGGTTTTATGGAGTTAGGGAATGGGTGCCTGGGAGCCGGGGTGCATGCAACTCTAGGAGCCCGGCTGGGGGATGGGTGGGAGCCACCCACCTGTTGTTGAGCAGGGCCAGTAGCTCCCCAGCGTGGTACAGGTCGTTCTTGGAGACTTGGCTAAACCGGAACTCATTGAGGTTGCACAGCGTGATGGCAGGGAAGGTGAGCTGGGAGGCAGCCACCTCGTCGAGCTTGGTGACGTGGTGGTAGTTGAAGTAGTACTGCACACGCTCCGTGCACACACACAGCAGCACGGCCAGTGAGCCCAGGAAGCACAGGGCCCAGAGCGCCCGCTTCAGTGACAGCCGCTCGTAGGAGAAGATGTGGGCCAGGCCGTGCAGCGTGGAGCTGCTGGCGAAGGCCTGGATGCTCACCGGCTGGACTCCACCCACCTCTTCCTCCTCAGCCTTCAGTTCCATCCTGGCCAAGGGGATCCTGAGGGCAGGGCAGGGAGGGACTCTGTCATTATCCTGGGATGAAAGTACCTATAGGGTCCCTCCAAATGTGTGCATCTGAAGTTCCCATCGCCTGAGGTCACTGCCTCTGGGGCAGTAGACTCCCTGGTGTGCCAGCCCAGAGGGGGACTGGCCTGGGACACACTCCCAGCAGAGGTTCCTCCAAATCCAGGGGCTGGGCCGGGGTTGGGGGGTGGGGGGTGGAGTGAGTGGGGGGGGGGAGGTTGGGGGGGGGGGTGCGAGGTCAGCTCAGGCCAGGAGAGTGTTCTCCCAGAGAAGCTTCCCAGGCCAGGGGAGGCAGCAGACATAGTCATCCGAGGGCGAGAGGGAAGTCCCAATGTTCCCACAGGCAGACACAGGAGTTCCCTCCAGATGTGGGGTCACTCTGGGACAGGAATGTCCACCCCATCCTCAGATGAAGACTCCCTCAGATGGGCTGAACCCGGGGTCAGGAGCTCCTGGTCAAGGGTGTCCCCAGGGCTGGGCTCCCCCCTCCTTCCTGAGCTAAACCTGGGCCAGAAACCCCCCAGGGAGGTGGGTAGGGGCCCAGGCTGAGTGCTCACCTGCGGACGCCTCTCGTTCTCATAACCCGCAGGCTGTGTGTGTGTGTGGCTGGGGAGGGGGGTGAGGGCCACCCGCGGCGGGTACATGGGGGGTTCCCTATGACAGCGAGCTGTCCCCGCCCCGGACGCAACACCCCCACTCGTCCAGTCCGGCTTCTCGACGCAGCCAGATCCCCTATTCGGCCCCCGCCCCCCTCCCCATCCACCAAGCCGCCCCAGGAGCTGGGGGAAAGCGAGAAGGGGAGTAAGCCCTGGCTTGGTGAGCCA